GACTAGGAGCAATACCCCTTTGATTCTGCGGTGATTGCTGCGTCTGTTGGTTCACCTGTTGGCCCCTAAGAGGACAGTTCCTTTTGATATGCCCTAGCTCCCCACAATGGTGGCACTTGAAGCTATAGGGTCCACTCTTCCCACTTCCCGAAGAGCCACTGCTACCACTAAGCACTCCCCCACTACCTTGCCCCTAATCACGACTTTTTCGATTACTCCTTTGGGGTCCTCCTGAAGCTTCTCGATCCTGAAGGAAGGCGATGTGCTCTTGTTCAACAGAGATGGATGCTGCAACCAAGTCACTGTAGACTCGATGCCTTAAAGCTACCACTGATTTCTGGATCACACCCTTAAGACCTTTCTCGAACTTTAGGCACTTCATGCGCTCCGATTCAATCAAGGAGGGAGCAAAACGGGATAGCTCATTGAACCTAGCTTCGTATTCCCTCACTGTCATATCCCCTTGCTGTAGGCCCATAAATCCATGGCCTTTTCATCTCGATAACTGTGGGGAAAGAATTGCTCATTAAAGAGCGCTTCGAATTGTTCCCAAGTCATCCCCTCTACATCATGCACTCGCCGAATATGCTTCCACCATGCACCTGCAGGACCTTCAAACTTAAAAGCTGTAAACTCCACCCAATACTCATCCGGTAATCCTATGGTACTTAGATGCTTAGACACCGATTCGAACCAATACTCAGCTTCCTGGGGTCCACCCACACTAGTGAATGCAGAAATTGAACTATGCCTGTACTCACGGAAGTAGTTCTATTTTCTGTCCTCCACAGGACGTTCATTTTGGGCTCTAGTAGCCATCCCCTGGAAGGTGGCGTACATGGCTTCCATGAATTGCTCATTCGGCATCGCCGGCGGGTTAGGGTTTCTACGGCGCGGCGGCATTCTTTTATCTGAAAAGAAAACTAGACTGTTTTAGTTGTTTCCTGATGTCATTCATGTATGCATAATTCCAAACCCTAAGGTTCTAAACCAAGGGCTCTGATACTAAGTCTTGTCACACCCCCAAACCGGGGTTAGTAACATGGAGGCTTGTTTAGAAACTTAAATCTATTTGAGAGAGAAATTAGCAAATATTTAAAATTTTCAAATCCAAAATGTCCAGGTATTTCCAAACAAGCCCCTGTATTCAAGAGAAATTTAATTTCAAGAAAGGTGGTGGAATTTCCAACCAAACCAGTCTAAAACGACGTCCCTGGTATCAAGTCAGGAATTCCCACAAGTGTTTAGCATACATGAATATAAACAAAAGTAAATGCGACATCAACCACAGTCTAGTAATATCTAAATGTACAATCCATAATCTTTTATACATGCCTTGAAATAAAAGATAAGAGGAAATACAACTCTTCGCTTCCCGAGGTCAAGTTCACGTCACTGGTAGTAGCTACCTACTCCGCACTACTCCTCGCGTCGCCTGGAGGGGTTTAATACATTTGAAAACAAGAAAGGTGAGCGAAAGGCCCAGTAGGATATAATTTTATAAAGCATTTAAAATAAAGGTACTCACGGTCTGAAGATATACACCCGGAACCAGTCATCCCTTTTTAGAAAAGGAAATACTCACATAGTAGAAAATGTCTGTATCATGAAAGCGTGTAGCTCATCATACCACTAAACAAGAAGCGGTAAAAATGTCTATCTAATGAAAAGTGCAGAGCCATTGTTCCACTAAACAAGAAGTGGATCCGTACGGGTTTCGGGACCTGCCCCTAAGGATGCGATTCCCACATCCCGATCTCTGTGGCCACCATGCGTTGTATCATTCCTTAAAATATTTCATTTTAAGAAATGATACTCTTTAAAATCTCATTTTCAAAATCATTGAAAAACTTAATAGCATTCTCATGCTATTCCTTTGAAATCATTTTCTTTAAACATGTTTTGTTCTAAAACATTTTCATTAGCTAAAATCATTTAAAGTAAGGCTATCAAGGATATGGACAAGAATATCCTACCTTTCGAATGTCAAACCTGTGGCTATCTTCACGTAGCCCTAGCTCCGCTTGCCCTTGAGGCTCCAATTCCAATCGTGCCACTAACTTTCCCATCAAAATTAACAATTTAGAGTTTGATCTTTCTCACCAAACATTCTCGTTTAATTAGATGCAATTGTATCATATTAGTGTGCCATAGTTCAAAATCAATGTTCATAAACAATTCTTAATTCAAATCATGATTCTTTGTCAATTGAGATTCATTCTTGAGAATCGAATGGAAGACAAGGATTCATGTGGCTAATCTACTCATTTTGAGTCCTCAAATGAGGTTAGGTCAATCCCACTTCGAATTTCGTGGTCAAAACAGGGTTTTTGGGCTGTTTAGGGTCGGGTTCAGTGGGAACCGGTCGACCGGTGACAGAGGAGAGTAACTCCACCGGTCAGCCAGTGGAAGGGTGACTGGTCGACCGGTGGGGAAGATCTCTAGGGCCAGCCATGGCCGATCCGCGTGAAACAAAGTGAAATCCTGAAATTTTATGTTCGATTTCGACATATTCTTAAGGGAAATGTATATATCTAGTTTCAAATCAACAAATAGGGTCCAAAGAATAAAAAATCTCCAATTTTCATCAAGGTTTCATCAAAAGGCATTCGAAATCCATTCGAAAATGAAATTTAAACCAAAAATCACCAAACTCGACTAAAACGAGTTCCATAAGGCTAAACCCAAAAATCTAAAGTAAGTTTCAAAGAGTTTTACCTCGATCCAAGCTTTGATGTTGAAAACCTCTTGGAAACCTCCATTTTTGGTTTAAATCCAGCCCTTGAGAAAGAAAACATTGAGAGAGAGAGGGAAAACTTGAAAGAAAGAGAGAGGAAGAGATGGGAGAGAGAGAGAGAGAGAGAGCGCTCGGTGAGGGAGAAAGAGACTAAGAGAAAGAGTGAGTGAGTGATAGGGTTACGGGAGAGGAAGGAAAAGAAAAGAAAGAAAGAAAAGAAAAGAAGAAAAGGAAAAGGAAAATAGAATGAGGAAAAGAAAATAATAAGGAAAAACAAATAAAATTAAAGAGGGGTGAAACTGCAATTACCAAAAATAAATTTAAAAGTTCATGATTAATTAAGAAAATCAATTTAGGCACACTAATAAACCACAATCATCATAATTAAATAAGTTTAATTCCGGAGGGCGTTACACTTGGACCTAAAATTGGGCCGAGCCGCAATGTGCGGGCTGAGAAATATTTGGGCCACAACACTTCTTTAAGCCAACAAACCCGTAACCCTTCGGATTACCTCGGGTATGCTCAGGGTGACCGGGTTGGTCGGATTGGGCCTTGACGTTGGGATTCTTGCAATTAAGCCCATTATCATTGGCCAGAGAAAACGTTGGGATTGGACCTGGGTTGTGTGTGTCCAAAAATAGCTCTGTTGTGTTGTGTGTGTTCAAAAATAGCCGTGGTCAAAGAAAACGTTAGAATTAGGCCAAAAAAACATTAGATTTAGGGTTGATTTCTTTCTCTGTGCTGATAAATTCGACCGGGTAGGGACAATATGATGTTCCTTGAATCTGCCCCGTGACCCTAGCCGTACTTTGCGGGTTGGGCATTATTGTAACCGTAAAAAAAAAATCCCACTATTTTCGGGTAGGTAGGGTCGGCTCGGGCAGGTTCAACTTTAATTCTTACACCTCTATCAGTATTGTACTATACTATGCACATTAAACCATACCTCTTTTTTAGTACATATAATAATTTAATGGGGTTTTTAGTAAAAATATTTGGAACCACATTTTTCAAAGTGCTTAATGAGTTAAAATAGTTTTTAAAACCTCTATAAAATAATAAATATGTTAAAAATAAAGTTTAAATTATTTTATTAAAATTTTAGTATAAATTTAAAAGTCCACTCCAAACAACTTTTTTAAAAAGCCATATTTTATATGAAACTATTTTGATAAATAAACTAAATAATGACAGTTTTTAGATGTAAGAGGCGAAAGACCATTTTTATAAAATATTGCGAAACAATCCACATTAAACATAATAACAATAATAATAATAATAACTTCACACGAATAGGGATGATAACGGAGCGGAGTGAGTATGCTTCCCCTATTATTATATTCTATTATCCATTTGTCTGCCAGTCTCCATACACAGTTAACTTAAAGTGGGTTTGAGGTTGAAAAATCCTCACTAAAAGAGATATTTCCATACTCTATCCCTTTATCTATTAAGAAGTTGGAAAAAAAAAAGGAAAAATCTTACAACATATTGAAAGTGGAAGAAAGTTTTAGGGCCCGTTTAGTTCGCTGATTCAAGTTTTTAATTCGAGTTGAGATGTGATTTTATGTGAGAGCTTTTTACTGTAGCAAAAAAGTTAGATGTGATTCTTTGTGAGAGCTTTTTACTGTAGCAAAACTCGAATTCTAAACTCGAATCAGCGAAATAAACAGTGCCTTATTAAGTTACTTAAAAAATTCAGCAATGTAAATACTAATATTTCGTAAAATTCAGACGAGATTTGAAATGAAATCTAAACTTTAAAATAACAACAAAAGTCTCAAAAATAAATATGACAGAGACGTGTGGTTCATGGATTAAAATCATGATATTAGAACCATTTTTTATTTACATGTATTTTTTGTGAGAGAAAATAATGTAGCAAATTACGAACCATAATTTGAATCAGGGTACGAATCTCCTAACAAAACAATTCTGAAGTTACACAATACAAGACTAAATTCCTAAAATTCAATCAAAAAACTAAGAAGCAAACCAACAAATTACAACACTAATAAGAATATCACTATTTTTCTTTGATTATTTCCTTTCTTGCCTACTTGATTTACGTTTTTTTGTCAGATTTTCTCGTCCAATTTTAATATTTTAACCGGTGTCCACCCAACACAATAATGGCAGAGCGAGTAAATTTGACGGAAAATAATGGTCAAAGATAGGGAGTGACATTAGCATTGCAATGTGGCTCTCTGTATCTGGCACGAGGTTCACGAAGCTTGCATTTGGCCACAATACGAACGAGAGAGAAATTATCAAAAAAAAAAAGAAAAAAAAAAGAAAAAAGAAAATCGAACGAGAAAGAAAACTCTCTCTCTCTAAGCTCCCTCTATAAATACCCAGTACACCTCCACACGTGATCATCTGCAAATATTTCTCAGCGACTTTGCAGGTCTCTCTCTCTCCTTCTCTCTCTCTCTCTCTCTGTTCGACATAGTTTAGCTGGGAGAATTGTAGAAGAGAGTCTTTTTCCTCCCCCCCCTCAATAGCATTTTGCTGCTTTTCGGATCTCTTTTTGGAGTTTCGCTTCTTGTTCTGAGGAATCCAAGCTCGAGAAAATGGCTAAGAATGTTGGAATTGTCGCTATGGACATCTACTTCCCTCCTTCCTGCGTTAAGCAGGTGATCGATCTATCAATCATTCTTAGATTGTTTTCACTTTCCTGTTTGGTTGCTGAGAAAATTCGAGCAGAATGGAAATAAAGTCTGGATTTTGCTTCTTTTTTGTTTTTTTTGTTTTTTGTTTTTTTTTTTTTTTTTGGTGCTTGAAATTGGAAAATGAATTTTGAGAAAAGGACAGAGAAAGCTCGGCCAATTGGTTACTTCAAATTAGGCTTTAGCTGAGTATTTTCTGTTTTCCTTTTGGTTTTCCGAGTAATGCAAAAGATGGAGATTAGCGTATTAATTTCGGTTCTGAATCCCGATTTTCGCGTATTTCTTCCTCCAGTTGCTCTCGTTGTTTTTGTTGTCACTATCAGATCTGAAATTGGCTTTCTATTTCTATTTTATTTGTTTTTGCTTTACTTCTTTTTTCATTGATCCTATATTTAAGCTATATGATTCTTTGTACCTGCATGTTCTGTTTCAACTCTAGTTATAAGGTTAGGAGGGAAGATGCTACTAGGAACTAGGAGTATTTCTTTTTCTTCCCATCTCTTTTATACGAATTGCAATATGTTGATGGTGGATCTTCCACTTTTCTTTGATAACTCAAAAAGGTCACTATTTGGATCTTTTTTCCACATAATTGTAAATATATATATATATGTGTGTGTGTGTGTGTGTGTACGTATAGCTGTATTATGCATGTGTGCTTCTAGTGTGTATCTATGGATTTATGTATGTGGGTATGTATGCGTCCAAGTGGGTGTGCATATATCTAACAATCCTGTCCAAGCTCAAACAAATTTATTTGTGGAACTCGTTTTGAATGTACTTTTTCTTCCTTTACGCAAAACAGGAAGCCTTGGAGGCTCATGATGGCGCAAGCAAAGGAAAATATACTATTGGACTTGGACAAGATTGCATGGCGTTTTGTTCAGAAGTGGAAGATGTCATCTCAATGAGGTAGGAATATTTCATTCAATCATGAATGTTTTGGTATGAGCACTAAACAACAAAAGGGAGAGTGTAAAAGGGTCCAAAATGAAGATTATATGAAATTGGCTCTTCTAATCCAGATCAGGCACTATTATCTTTACTTTTTGGTCACTAGTTTTAAAATGGACGTGCACTTGGGTTTGGTGGTCAATAAAGAAAGAGAGAAAAAATAATTGGCACATATGCACACGCATAAATCTGTGATTTTATTTGTTTACTGTAAATCTCATATATGGACTCTATATTTATGTATTATTAACTTTTGTATATGGATTTCTAGTTTGACAGTGGTTACTTCACTTCTTGAGAAGTATAAAATTGACCCAAAACAGATTGGTCGGCTGGAAGTGGGCAGTGAGACAGTTATAGACAAGAGCAAATCAATTAAGACCTTCCTGATGCAAATATTTGAGGTACTCCTCGAAAGCATGCTCAAATTTGCCCCTTTAGTATTTTTACTTTTATGTTATATTCTCGTTTCTGAGCGGAGAGAATTTTTTATTGAGGTTCTGGCCCAAAATTCCTGCTCTTCTAACATCAGTTCAAATGAGTGAATGAGACGTGACGAAACATAAAAATATCTTAAATGTTGTTCTAAATCTCAATGTAGACATGTTGAAGCTTGATTTGACTGTCTTGGATCCTTTTGGTTTATCAACTTCCTGTCCTGAAAAGAAATGAAAATGTTTATAAGCTAGTGCAAGCTACTCTTGGAAGATAAATGTGGTTCTTGTTGTTTTACTAGTCTCAAAGGTTTTGCATTTCTGGTTAAAAAACGCCTTTGTTATGTCCTTCGTATTTTATGTATGTCTCTTGCAGACATTTACAGGCTGTTAATTTCTTGTGTTAAAACGAGCAGGAACATGGCAATACTGACATTGAAGGTGTCGACTCCACCAATGCATGCTACGGAGGAACTGCAGCTTTATTCAACTGTGTCAATTGGGTGGAGAGTAACTCATGGGATGGGCGCTATGGTCTCGTTGTGTGCACCGACAGTGCGGTACAACCATTTTGTTTGGATATACAATTTACAGATTGCCTTACTATTGTTCCGTGACAGGCTGATTACATATTTTATTTCCTGTCTATTGAAATCATTTATTAAAGACTCGGGAATAACTAGTATAGTCTTCTGGAGGCAGGGGCTTATTGCTTGTTTCTTTTGAGAATGAATGTTTTTTCAGGCTGATTTCATATTAGACCAACTCTCTCTTTTTTCTTACTGGAGATTTCTTTCCCAGGTTTATGCTGAAGGACCAGCCAGGCCAACTGGCGGAGCCGCTGCTATTGCTTTGCTGATTGGCCCTGATGCCCCTATTGCTTTTGAGAGCAAATATAGAGCAAGCCACATGGCTCATGTCTATGATTTTTACAAGCCCAACCTAGCTAGTGAATATCCAGTAAGCATTAGCGAACTATTTGTGTCTTTGTGTTTCAGATACAGCAGTCATATCTTCCAGATGTGGATTTTAGTAGTCATTTCCCTTTTCAAAATATATCTCCTCAATGTAGTTTCTGTTCAGTATGGTCACAAATTGAGTAATGCGTATTTGAATTGGGGTTCTGTCTGTTTAGCTTTTAGCCTTTTACACCCACTATGTGGTGATCAAATTGCCGTTTTTAGCATCTGTTTGCTTCTCAGCTTTAATAATTCATCTGTTAACAAATGTTTTTTTAGGTTGTCGACGGAAAGCTTTCTCAAACATGCTACCTTATGGCCCTTGATTCATGCTACAAACAACTCTGCAAGAAGTAAGTTTCTCTAAGAATCCTGAAAATAAAATGAACATATTCTTATTTAGAAAAGCTGTCATTAGTTGTGATATACAAATCTCAAATCATTTTGCTTTCTGCAGGTATGAGAAATTTGAGGGCAAACAATTTTCAATTTCTGATGCCGAGTATTTTGTATTTCATTCTCCGTACAACAAGGTAGATTATTTTAATGTATTTATTACGATCTTCTAACTCTCATCCATTTCAATATATATTTCATATTCTGAAATGTTCCAAGCAAATAGTTCCGTTTTTTTTTTTTCCTTTTTTTTTTCTTTTCCCTAAATTTTTTTTTTTCCTTTAAACTATGGCAGCTTGTACAGAAGAGTTTCGCTCGTTTGGTATACAATGACTCTGTCAGAAACGCAAGGTTAACATTTCCCCCACTCGTCAAAATATTTTTTGACCTTTTAAATGTTTATTTTTAGTTTACATATTCTTGGTTATTGATCTTATCTGTTTCTGCTTGCAGCTCCATCGACAAGGCTTCTAAAGAAAAGCTGGCTCCATTTTCAACCCTATCTGGTGATGAGAGCTACCAAAGCCGTGATCTTGAGAAGGTCTATTTAAGAACCCTGGCTTAGATTAAGGCTATAGTACTTATTCTTTAACATGAAATTTCTGAACAGAAAGGGTGTGTTGGTGGGTGATTGCAATCATGGTTTAGTTCTCATTCATAGCTCCTTGATAATATTAATTGATTTCTTTGCCAACCGTTTTAACTTCTTGCTGATAATTGTTTCTTAATGAAATTGATTGACAGGTCTCACAGCAAGCCGCGAAGCCCCTATATGATGCAAAGGTGCAACCAACTACTTTGATGCCAAAGCAAGTTGGAAACATGTACACAGCTTCTTTGTACGCAGCATTGGCATCCCTTATTCACAACAAGAGCAGTGAATTGGTATGTCACCTATCTATTTCTGTTCATAAGCAACACAATAAGAACACCAAAAACAAAACCATTAAAAAAGGTACTTCTATTGTGAAAAGTGTTCTTTCTGATAATTGATTTCTTTCATCGCTTGCAGGCAGGAAAACGAGTTGTGTTGTTCTCTTACGGGAGTGGTTTAACTGCCACGATGTTCTCATTGCAACTCCGTGAGGGTGAACATCCCTTTAGCTTGGCAAACATTGCAAGAGTCATGAATGTTGCAGAGAAGTTGAAATCCAGACACGAGGTACTTCTTCCCTTCTTTTTGCCCCCAAGAAACAATAATTTCCGACCTTTTAGTGAAGCATTTACTGTTTAGTGTCCCTGCAAGTAAAACCATGTCCGACTCCTCTTCTAAGCGCTTAGAAAATCTATTCAAACGAATAGTGCAGAGAAATCACATTATGCTTGTAAGATCCTTGGCAACATATGGGGAATCGTTTTCCAACTCCCCCGAAGTTATGTTTTAATTGTGAGGGCACAACTGCACAAGAGGTGAACTTGGACAAGACTAGGGAGATCAGGACGAAACTTTGATAACTTTTAACTTACCTTTTAATTCTGTAAAATTTAAAAAAATAATAAAAATAATAAAAATAAAAAAAAAGACATTTTCTTTTCTAGGGTGATTGGAGAGATGCCAAAAGTTCCTTGTTCTGTTATTGACTACATACTAATGAGCATTTACCTTTCTTTCAGGTCGTTCCAGAGAAGTTCATTGAAACGTTGAAGCTCATGGAACACAGGTATGGAGCTAAGGACTTTGTGACCAGCAAGGATAGCGGCCTTCTTCCACCTGGCACATACTATCTCACTGAAGTCGATTCCCTCTACCGGAGGTTCTATTCCAAGAAGGCTGTGGAAGGTACTGGTGGTGCCTCTGAGAACGGCACCGTCGCTAATGGTCATTAATTTCGAATGTATCCGACATGTTTTGCCGTGAAATATGGCATTCGTGTTATTAGATGTGTGTAGTAACCGGAGGTCCGGGATACTCGTGATCTCCTATCGTTTGGCAGCAACTGTCGTCATTTTTCAAATTTTTTTCGCCTTTTTTTCCCCCTCCCTTTTCCTGTACTCTTCAAGTCTTTCTTGTCCAATGACAATAATGAGAATGTAAGCATTTTACTCGATATTTAATCAAGCTGTTGCAAGAACCAAATTATCAACTTCTTTAGACAGCAACCGATATGGTCGGTGGGCTTGTAACTTGAGGTTCATTAAAACGTGACTTGGTTTAAGTTCAAGAAGCTATTTCCAACCAAATCCGCCCAACCTACAAGGTACAAAAGCTGGCATGTCTATTGGGATTAACAATTAACAAGCTCTACACTCTACACTGTGGTTTGGCCCAACCCAGCTCCTACTATTACTAGGCTAATAGGTTTGACGTTGAAACTACGGGGTTTCATGTTGGTTTTTGAACTGATGATTTGTTTTGAGAAAAATTCTCAAAGATGGTTCTTCATAAACTCTCATGTTAAATGCTTCATGATCTAATATATTGGAACTCGCAGAGGTGAAGAGCAAAATTTGACAATAAATTAGACTAGTAACATTACTAAATTATATAGTTATTTGCGACGACATGCGGTTTTTTACGACAACTTTTTGTCGTCGCAAAAACACTTTTTTCTTGTAGTGTATCCTTGTACATTAGCAAAATCCTTGAAGAACAAGAAAAAGTATGAATAAATTAGTAAATTTATAAATTATACTTCTTTTTCCACCCACTTTCGCTTTCAGTGCCAAACAACAAAAGTTAGTTTTCTACTTTCCTTCCTCCCTATCATGCTAAAGAAAAAACAAATCTTCTCTCGTTTTTAATCTCTTATATTTTATCTCTTCTAAAACAAACACATGAAAGAGATTGTGCACAAAATGGCAATAGCCAACGGTAGTACATGTAACGTGAAAGAAAAGTGAGTTATACGAGTTTTTCTTGCAAGTTCTTATAGCAATTTATGCAGACAATTATACAGAAATAAATTTTACCATTCAGTCTGACCCAATAACTAATGTGTTTTGAGCACAAATGAATCTTAAAAATAATAATAATAATAATAATAATAATAGAGAGAGAGAGAGAGAAATAGAGCCGTGTACTTATACTTCGCATTAAGTTCTCCTTTCATGTTTGCATGGCAAAACTGTCAGTTTCTGGCTAATACCATGTACTGCCATTGAATCAGAATGCAAAAATTCCATTTCTTTTATCAGCTGTGCATTCTTTCACTTTGTTTCATCTTATTTTACAGGATGACTCTTTAGTAATTGCTGTTACGGATTACTCAAATCAGAAAAATATAACGGTACAAGTTCTTTTTTTTTTCTTGCCCCTTTCTGGTAGTGCATGGACCACCGTATTTAGACTGTGTCCACCAATGATATTCATTAAATGAGCCGCAAATGCAACTGACCTTTTAGTCGAGACCTTTCTGATGCGCACACGGCAATTGGCTATATAAACATTACGCTTTGTGAATTGTGACCACTCCCAGTGGTCCACCAATTGGGAGGGACACATGAAAGAAAGAACCAATATTGAGGGCCACCAAGTAGGTCCCAACACGTGTCACAACCACAATCCCATATCTCATTTCTCTTCTGATTTAATCTACACCGTTGACACCCTCATGAACCCAAAAAAAAAAAAAAACTCGTATCATTTTTACGTGAAATAAAAACAAAAATTTTGGGATTATTTATTTTCCCCCCGTTAGAAACCCTTTATATATTTATTTATTTTGTGTCAATCTTTCTGATTCTCCCTTCTTCATTCCGTTATATTACAGTCCCATGTTTTGTATAACCAGCCTCTCTCATTTCTCCTCAATCGAACAGAACGACAAAACCCTAACTTTCTTTTTTTGCTTTTCCATCTCGGTTTCTCGGGAACCAAACGGTTCAATTCTCCGGTTGAAATGACGTCGCATCCGCAGGAGATGGATCTTGAAGACGACGGAGGAAGCTCCGATCTCAGCACCAGCGCCGGCGAGCCAGAAAAGAACACGAACCCTAATCCTAACCCCGAGCACAACAACAAAAACAACAGAAACAACGTTAACGGAGTTTCGAGGTCGGCAAATTTCGCCGAAATGACGGCGTTTCAAGCCTTGCCGATGAAGGAGGAGCCTTTGGACTCAGACCCGGACCAGAAGGTTCAGCATCAGCAGTCGACGTCGGTGGTGCCGGTGGCGATGCAGATGCAGGTGGCGCCAATGCCTCTGCCCATGCCGATGCCGGTCTCGACGGCGATCAGACGGTCGTCAACCAAAGACCGACACACGAAGGTCGAAGGCCGTGGCCGTAGGATCCGAATACCGGCCACGTGTGCGGCTCGGATCTTCCAATTGACCAGAGAACTGGGCCACAAGTCGGACGGCGAGACCGTACGATGGCTCCTCGAACACGCGGAGCAGGCCATTATCGAAGCCACCGGCACCGGGACAGTCCCGGCCATCGCCGTCTCCGTCGGTGGGGCCCTCAAGATCCCGACGACCACGAACGCCAACCCTGTCGACGAAACGACGACGTCTAGTGCCGCCACCGCCAAGAAACGGAAGCGCCCCTCTAACAGTGAGTTCGTTGACCTGACCGACGCCGTTTCTCAGTCGTCCGGTCTGGCCCCGATCGGACCGGCTGTTCCCCAGGGGCTGGTCCCGGTCTGGGCCGTGGCGGGGAACGCCGCGGGGGTGAACATGATGGTCCCGGCCAACGCCTTCTGGATGATTCCCCCGACGGCCGCCGCGGCTGGCCCAGGCCCATCAAGACAGCAGCCTCAGATATGGGCCTTATCGCCGACAGTAACTCCCGTCTTCAACATGGCGGCCCGGCCCATCTCTTCCTTCGTCGCTAATCAACCGGCCGTCGTCGGCCCAGCTGGCGTTCCAAGCTCCGTCGTCGAAGTTCCATCCCACGTGGCCCACCACGGAGGTGGGCTTTCGACGAGCACGACGTCGGTGGGGCCAACAGCGGCGAAGAAGACGTCGTCGACGATGGCTCCGAGCTTGAGCAGCTCCGGCGGCCGCGGTGGTGGGACCAAGGCTCAGATGCTGAGAGATTTTTCTTTGGAGATTTACGAAAAGCAGGAGTTGCAGTTCATGGGCCGACCTGGGAATCACCAAACGCAGTCGTCGAAGCCATGAAATTAGGAATTAATCACGCAAAAGTTTGAAGCTTAGAAGCTAGAGATAGAAAGAGAGAGTGGATTCTAGTGTCAGAAATGTAATGAGAGATTGCTATATCCACTTTGTATGTTAATGGACAGAGAAAATAAATATGAAAAATTTTTAAAGAACAAGTTCTGTTGAGCTCTTTTCTGCTGTTTTATTACGTACAAGAATCATATATCGCCATGAAAGACGTAGCTTTGAGCTCGTTTTTTAGCTAGTTAGTGCTAACATTAATACGTTCACTTTGCTTCTTTTATGTTATTTCTTTCTGTTGAGACTTGAGAATGAGAATGAAAAGATGAAAAATGGCGTTTTCAGCTATAGAAATAATTAAGTAAATACTCATACACTATAGTTGTCTTGTCTGTAATCATTTTCCGGAAAAATCTATAAATTTAATTCGCCCCCGGAGCTAAATGGATTACCAACCCCAATAAAACTTGCAAATTTTTCCAACTTCATTCAAAGCGATTCCATGAAAGATTCGTTTTTTTTTTTTTTTTTTTTTTTTTTTTTTTTTTTTTTTTTAAAAAAAAATAAAAAAAAAAAACCTTTTTTTTTTTTTTTTTTTTTTTTTGCATATTTACTGTATAAGTAAATAGTAAGAAAAAGAACCCCATTATTGTGCAATTGTTTTAGTTGAAATGAAGCAATAATGATTTAAGTAATTAAGAGCTTGCAATGACAACAAAACTGTTGTCTTTGAACACCCAATGATTACCGGCGCGCCTCCTCAGCAATATCAATCGTTTTCCGGTTGGATTTAAGATAAATAAGCTTTACATAACTCATAATTGTTTTGTACATTTTTTTTTATTGGCCGATCGATTATATATATTTTTTAAAATAAAAAGGTATCGTGGCCGTACATGCACGTGCGCGACGAAAGGATCCACACGTGTGAGGTTGTCCGAGTAGGCGGAGTTCGTTGAGGTGCTGGGGCCGACATTGGGGTGTGGGGAAGGTGGTCCACCTCTCAAATGGTGGGTCAACAAGCCCAAATTGGACGATTATTCTAATCCCCACTATCTTTCACTCTCCTTCTTACGTGCGTTAACCTCACTCTCGCTTTAAGTGGCTTAGATCGAAAACGTGCTTTTCACGCTCTTTGACAGTGCGGGATCGGACCTTGGAAAAGCATTAAAAAAAATGTGATCTCCGTGGAGTGTGGGGCCTACCTTTTGGAGCTGTCAATGGTGGGGGATGGGTTGCCCTGCGCGTGCACCGAGGCGGGTGTGGGCCCTATAAGTGGGGCCCATGTGCCTTGGACCCCTGGCCTATCCCCGGGGTTGGAATTTGTCGTTTGTGGGCCCAATGGGGCACATTTTTTCCCCACTTGTGGGTGGTGGTTCTCTTGGTTGGTCTTTGATCAAGATGAGATGAGAGCCGACGGCTCCACCTCTTCATGCACCAAACCTCCACCATTTTTCGTGTGGGCCCCCCTCTGCCTAAGTAAGCCGTGGACCCCCCATACCTCTTCAGTGCTCCAGCATTTTCTTTTATTTTTTTAATCAAATATAAATTTTACTAGCATTTAATTAATAAATTCTTATCATAATTTGAATCACAATTCATGATTCATTAAATTATTTTTTTTAATAAAAAATACACATAAATTAAAAATAATTCTAAATCTATAAAAAAAAAAACGTCAACTTTATTTCTAAGCCTTACCCTCCTTTGTAAAGGGATTCCTACTAATAATTTTGCTTTCTCAAAAGGAATACCTTGAATATTCCGGAAAAGTTCCTATTCACCAAAATATTGTTTGTGAATTGTGATGCGGTTGTAAGTCGTCTAGTGATAAATCTTTACTTAACTACATTTTAAAAAGTTTAAATTCCCTACTCAAATTTTAAAAATTAATAATAATTGTGAAGTAGATTTTCTTCTTATTTTCTTTTTTGGTTTATTGGGGGGAAAAAAAGATTGGGATAATAAAAAAAGAAAAAGAAAAACAGCTACTCTGCATCTGCATAAGCGTGTAGACTATACATAGTTCAAGATAATGTCTAATTATAATGGTTAATCTACAATACCAATATACCATGCAACTCCGAAAACTGATGTTTATACTTCTAAGAGATAATTATGTCTTGCAAGCTTATTATATAAACTATTAGTGCCAGTACGTCAAAAAAATAAATAAATAATTGCTCATAAAAATATTATTTCACGTATTTATTTAAAGACACGTAAATGGGGTATTTTTGGGGACTAGCTACTTATCATTACTCAAGAAGGCAGCAATTCCTCTTCCTCACACACAAGCCATTAAAAAGGTATGTGAGACTGAAAATCCAAGGGTGGGAAATACCAAGGTAATGACATTTCACATTGTGTGCTTACAATTATGCATATTATATACTCTAGTAAATATATTTGTAAAGCTTTTTTTTTTTTTTTTTTTTAGTAGAAGAAAGAATAAGATGGAACAAATGCTCTATGGGCTCGCAAAATCGAATCCCTGCACCTTTACTAATAGAAGTATAAAAGACAACTATTAATGACAACAACTTGATGAATTGTTTTTCCTTACAATACCATTGGAGGGATGACTACGGTTGCTTTGTGGTTTCGTGTTCTTTGACTTGCTTCAAACTGCTCTGTTCAACAGTTATGATTAGTGATACTATAATGACTCATATTAGTATAGCAAAATTTGATCAAAATCCTTTATTTATCTTGACTGGCCAATTATTGTTACTGATTTTATGTGGTTTCATGAATTTTAGTTAAGACACCCAGTTGTTTTATACATTTTACTCCTGAACTTATATGATTTTAACAATTCATCTCTAAGCTTTTAATTTTTATAAGTTGTCCCCTTAACTTGTAAAATTGTCGCAATATGCCATATTTTGACAATTATTGTGTTTAAATTAGTGTCAAAAAAGCACGTTCGATGAAAAATTCTAACATCTCAATTTAAATGTAAAACAAAGCTTTCAATTTCTTAACTTTTAATCCCCTAAATCTAATAAAAAAAATTTGAATAAATTTAATAAAATGGGACACATTGTAATAACTTTACAAGTTCAGGAGTTTTATTGTCAAAATTAAAAGTTTGAGAGCAATTTGCTAAACCACGACAAGTTTAGGGGCTATTATGCTAAATACCCTAAGACACCCATATAATTCACCATTCCCATTCATGTTGTTTTCTTAGGCCTCATTCATTTAACTGATTTGAGTTTTCAGTTTTAGATTTTTACAGTTAAAAGCTCTCAGAAAATGTCAAATCTAACTTTTTTTATTACAGTTAAAAGCTCTAAAAAAATATCACATCTGAGTTCGAATTAAAAACTCGAATCCGCGAAACGAACAAGTAATCTATCCATTGACCATTGTTAAAATATAATTAGATGTAAAATTACTTCTTGGTTACAAGTACAATTGCAACTACTAATCCATCCTTCTTATTCCTCCTCATACAACACATCAATTGTATGTTATTAATTCTAATACGATTTGATCCTATATTTTCAATAAAAGAAATGTCAAATCTACCCCCACTTTTCACGTGTCTGGGTCCATAAATTTCTATTTATTTAATTTTCTCTTTCATTTTATGTCTTATGGTGGGCCGTGGGGTTTCTTCCACTATTTAAAGTGGCCATTTTTGTGGACAGCTGTAACGAGGGGCTTATCTCTGTGCCCAGACCCACATCACCAATGGCCCCACATTGCAACCTGGTCACCAGACAACTGTCTCTCTCAATTTTGTTTTTTTTTAAATAAATTTCTAAGTTGAAACAGTCTTTTTTCTCTCTTATGTTTTTTTTCCCATTTTGCATTTTCTGTTTAATTTAAGTCAATGAGCTATTTTCTTGATCTAAGTCAATGAACTATTTCGGACCATCGGGAAGTGTTTTTTATAAATAAAAAAAATCACATATACTATTTTTTTAATCTTATCTTTACATTTATGTCACTTAAAATATAAATTTGTATCATTTAAAATTATTTTTTTACCAATTTAATAAAACACATGTTTTTACCATACTCCTTCATTAGCATAAATATTAGTTAGTATTATTTTCAGCGGTCCCCTTTTTTTTCCCTTGAGATAGCCACTCAATTCTTAAATCTCCATTTTATATCAGGAGTGGATCATTTAAAATCTAGAATAAAATTGTCAAAATTGTAAATGATCATAAACGAGACTCGAAAAACGAACAGAAAAAATTACATAAGAAGAATTTCAAGCAAAAAAAAAAAAAAAGGTGATAAATATTTTTTTAAAGTAAACAAATTTAAATTTTTTTATTTATTCTTAATTCATATCTTTTTAATAGAATAATTATATTAGTCAGAACAGTCTTAATTAATAATAAAAAACTAAAAAATTAAATTCATACATTTTAAAGATGAGTTAAAAAAATAATAATTATTTCACTTAACTTGTGGGCCACTCTTTAGTACCACCAAGAAGCAAGTGGAAAAAGATCGTGGGCCCAGGGCAAGAAGGAAAGTTGGACTGTGGGCCTGAGTTAATCACATTCATCTCCGTGCACGTGTAATCAAGATACTGACAAGGAGGACCTCCTGAAAGGAAGTGGTAACCCAGTTTCACATTTTTGTTATGAACTATATTTTTTATAATATTTTATCCTTTAAATTTTAAAATGTAATATCCACTCTCTCTGAATTTTATTCTGTTAACAAGTTTTCTCCTTCTGTTACAATGAGTGATGAAAATTTCACGTGTCACTTATTTAGTGAGATTTAAAAATGCAATTACGTTTATACCCTTCTAATCAGATTAGATCTCATGGATTAATCGACACAATTTACCATATTCGTTCTAAAAAACCAGTTTTTTTTCTCACCTCGTTCATCCATGGCGAGTTCCTCATTCATCTTCGTTCCCTTGCCCTGTTTTCATGTCGACTCTTTTTTCTTTTGTTCGTCACTGCACTGCCTCTCATTCTCTTCCGGTTTCTCCAGCACGCCTATTCCCATACTCAGTCGTGGATCTCTCACTTTCTTTCGTTCTTTATTGTGGGATGTTGGTTCGTTTTACGTTGAAATTCTTACTTTAATTTGGTTATGCCTATTTTTTTTCCCTTTGAATTTCTTTGTAGACAATGTTTGGACTCCATTAAACCCTCTAATCAAAACC